CTGCATGCTATTTCTCAGGCAGTGGACACCTTGTTTTGTGGGACAATGTCTCCCACTGCCCCTGAGTTCCCCAAGTATGCTAGGCTGGGTGCCCAGAGAGCCCTAGGGTCTCTTCTTCACCTGCTCTGGGATTACAAGGGCACATCATCATGTCTCATTTTTATGCAGATTCTGAAACCCAAATTCAAATGCACAGCAAGCAATTTATCTACTGAACTGTCTTCCCAGTCTCATATTATTATGGTTTTTTTTTAGGTCAGCATATAAAGTTATGGTGTTTTTAATCACATAGTCATACATATATGACATTATACTTCGTTCTTATTAATCCCCATCCCCTACTGCCTTCTCCCATCCTTCCTGCCTGCCTGTTGCTGATCTTGTTTCTGTCTCATCACCCTGTCCCTCCCCTAACACTTCCCTCTTAAGGCTTCTTCTTCTCCTTACATGACCTCTTTCTTCTCTTTCTTGATTTAACACACACACACACACACACACACACACACCTACACAAATGAGAGAAGTTACTACAAACACCCTGATTTTCTTCTTCTTTACAGTGGAATGAAATTCCATTTTGTGTATTGCTACATTTTCTTTATCTAAACATTGGCTGATAGACATTTAGGCTGGTTCCATTTCTCCGCTATTATAAATAATAAAACAAGAAATAAGGATGTTCAAGTCTCTGTGGTACACTGTCTTAGGGAACTTGTATATACCCAGGAGTGGTACAGATGAGTCATATATTCTACTTTTGGTTGTTTTCTTTAAGACAGAGTTTTCAGCCTGTGGTGATCCATCTGCCTTGGCCTCTTAAGCGCTTGGATTACAAGTATGAGTCAACACACTTGACTTCTATCTTTAGTTATTTGAAGCACCTTTATACTGGCTTCCATAGTGGATTCACACGTTGACAATCCCACCAGGAGCACACCAGGGTTCATCTTTCCCAGCATTTTTACCAGCATGTGCTGTCTTTTTTTTTTTTTGATGATGATGATGAAGAAGAAGATAGATAGATAGATAGTAGATAGATAGATAGATAGATAGATAGATAGATAGATAGATAGATAGATAACCTTTCTGACAGGAGTGAGATGGATTCTCAATTCAGTTTTAATTTGCATTTCCCTGACTCAGTCATTTTTTTTTCAGGTTCAGTTCTTCATTGGAAATGTTAACAAAAGCAGTTTAGTCAAAAAGACCAAAGCCCATGTCATCTTCCGACACCTCAGATTTTTCCTATTTCCCTTTACCCATTCCCCACCCCCAGAAACCTCCTAGTCCACCCCCTTATATGCAACTATTAAGGTCAGTTCTAGGTTGAGGAACTAGAAATACAATAGATGCAAATAGTCAAGGAACAAGCAAGACAATAAACCCAGATAGTCAAAGAACAAGCAAGGCAATAAACAAAATTCCGTGAACACTCTTGCGATCACTGTTTCTAAGGGCTTATCAGGATGGCCAAAATATTTATCTGAGCCCACTTCTCTCTCCTATTCCAAAGTCAATTTGTGCTATAAAACAAAATTAGTGATAAACTATTCTTCTGCTACATTTTTTCAAGGCAGAGTTGTATACTGGGTGTAATGATATGTGACTATATACATTGCACCTGAGATGCAGAGGCTTCAGGAATACCACAGGTTCAAAGCCAGCCTGTACTACATGGGAAAACTGTCTGTCAAAAATAAAACAACAAAGCAAAACTCTTCTTTTTCTATAGTAATTTGACTAAACCAATAAATAATTTTAATTTCAGCTTTGCTGGTATTGTTATGTTAAAAGATAATAAGAACATCCAAGAGCTTTACCTGATTATGAAATTACTCATTTCAGAATGTGTGGATTTTGGTACAGACGTATAAGTAAATATATTCTTTCATGATTTTGATGTTTCTTTATATTCTTCCTTACCACCTCATACATTTGGAAAATCAAACCTTATGAGCACTTTTAAAAAATACTTTGAATATATTTTTGTGTAAAAGAAACTTTTAAAATAAGGAACAACTCTTTTAGTTTATAAATTCACATTTCCTTTTTTGATAGAAGGTCTCATTCTGTGGCCTTGAACTCACATCAGTTGTCCTGCCTCAGCTTCCCACGTTCTACAATTACAGATATGAGCCCCCACCCTTGGCTTGATCTTACATTTTTCAGTATTATAATTATATTATCCTTATGCAAAAGGCTGCTTATAGTCTTAGAAAATATACACTCAAGAATTTATGGATGGTATGTGCAATGAAGCCAACAACATACTCTCAAAAATGTCAGAAAAAGGAAAGAGACAGAGAGAAATGGGAAATAAATATGGCAAAATAGTGCACCAAATTAATGTACTTGATGGGGCTATGGATGCTCACTGTATTATCTCAAGGGAACAGAAATGGATATTGTTTGTTTCTTTATTTTTCTTTTTATTTAGTTGGTTTCTTGAGTTTAAATGAGGTTTCTCTGTGTAGCCTGAAACTTGATCTGTAGACCATGCTGGCCTTGAATTCACATAGATCTACCTGCTTCTGCCTCCCAAGTGCTGGGATTAAAGGCCTTCAAGCTTGAGGGGTTGTTGTAGTTCTGAAGAGTATTACACAACTGTTAAACAGATGTGTCACAATAGATTGTTTTAAAGATGATGTTTACGTGACTGTGGTGGTATATGCCTCTCATCCCAGCACTGGAAAGGCAGAGGCAGGACTACCAGGCATTCCAGATGTGTCTCAGTCACTTAGGGGTTTCAAGGACAATCTCTACTAAATGAGACTTCATTACATAAAACCAAACAAAAAATATTTCCACCATGCTATGGATCTTTACACAGTTTTCAATAGTCTTTATATCTACATCTCAATCTCAGAAACAATTGTTCCAGACAGGCTCGTGCAAGAAATGCAAGAGTATCAATGTGAACAGTCCAGCCAACCCAAGTCCAAATTCAAGCATAGACAGATGTGCACAGAAGGAAGGATGTTTGAGGTAAACAAAACACAAGCAAAACAAAACAAAAAACGACTAACGCAAATTTCATGCACCTATGCATTTCCTGTCTTTAACACTAAAAAGGAAGCTTTCCTCAAATCATCCAGACAACAGTTTGAAAAGCAGTATCACTTTAAACCATATTCACTTTTAATATTTCCTGCCACATAGAACAGCACTATCACAAGCTTGCTGAACTGAATCACTGAGACCGAAATTCAATGGGAATATAATATGATGTTTTTACTCTTCTCTAAGTCATTAGCACAACTGAAGTCAAGAGCAATGGTGTCATTGCGTATTCTGCTTAAGCTGTTAGGTCTTCTTGTTAAAATACAGAATCTAAACAATATAGCAGTAGCAAAAGAGAACTAACAACATTATAATAATAAAGGATTTGAAGACTGAATATAGTAGTGTTGGCCTGTTATCTCAGTAGTCAGGAGGCTGAAGTTTAAGATTGCAGCAAATTTGTAGACATCCTTGGCTACATAGAATGATTTAGGCCGTCCAAGGCTACATAAATAGACTTTGTGTCAAAACACACACACACACACACACACACACACACACGGGGGTGGGGGGTGGGGGTGGAGCACACAAGTAAATTGTTATCAGAATCAGTCTCATTGGTGCATGCCTATAATCCCAGCACTTTGGAAACTGAAGCAGAAAGTGCACAAATCACAGTCCAGTGTGCATTATCAAGGAAGAATCCATGTCAAAAAAATAAAAAAGAAGAAGCAGTCACAGAGCTATAGCCATGGAGTTTGGCTAAGTTGCCTGATGTTCTGAATTACTCAGAAAAGCATAATGCTTCCTTCTCTTCTTTTTTACCTGTGATCTAGGCATGCTTCTGAGCATGCTTAAATCACATGGCAAGACTTTCTATTCCTCCTGTCCATCTTCCTCCTTTGGTCAGCTGCTGAGATTTACAGCTTGCTTGCCCTGGGGTTTTGCTTTTAAACACTAATAAACGTGTCCTTAGTTTTCCAACTCTTAAAAATTAATTGATTAAAGTAATGTTACATGTGTTTGACCAGATCAGTCAGATATTTCCAATTAAAACAAAACAGATTATCTTCTGCCTAGCTCATACCTATAACTTCAGCACATAAGAGAGTGAGGTAGGAGGGCTTCCATGAATTCAATGCTAGCCTGGTCTACATAGCAAGTTTTGGATCAGCCAGGGCTACATAATAAAACCCTACCTCCGAAACAAAAACAAATTGTGAGTTATTTTGAGGAACTGACTACATGAATCAAACCTTTCGGTATGCATTATACATATAACAGACTTAACAAATAAAATCTCTTGCTGCTATGCTACCCATAAAGCTTCAAGCTTCATTGCAGACATGAACCTTAAAATCGTGTTACTTAACAGGCACGGTAGATCATACCTGAAATCCCAACAGTAAAGGGTCGAGGCAAATCACTGCTAGTTCAAAGTCAGTCTGGGCTACAGAGTGAGATCTTATATCAAAGAAAATAAATAAATGAATGAATAAATAAATAAATAAGAACATTTTAAGCTGAACCCTAAACTTATAGTGCCAACTGTTCAGGTGGCTAAAAAAATTCAAACTCTATCTAGTCTATCTGGCCAGTCATTAATGAGTCTGTTTCTTAGAAAAAAATTTAAACATAACTCAGTAATAAAGTATTTGCTTAGTATGTGCAAGGCCCAGAGTTTCATAGCCAGCACTGAAAAGCAAGCAGCAGCAGCGCAGAAACAATAAAATAAACCATAACACTGTTTTTAGAACTATTCGAAATGACATAAGGATGTCAGATAAGGAAATGTATAGCTTAATTTTTATTACTTAACTGTCTAGCCTCACTAACTATTTGATCAAGTTCCTAGCCATTCTATTTTAGTAAGCTAGAAAGCCTTTCTGATGACATAAGAGTAGCCTTGAGTTCTAATGGTAAGAGGCTAAGAAAGTGTAGGAAGAGGGAGGAAGGAGAATAGTTGATAAGAGAATCAAAGGGTCCATTGCCTCCCTTACCTTTACCAGAGTCTGCTCCTGGGATCCTGCAGCAACACAGTGACTGATCTAATAGAGAAGAACTAGCCAGGCAGTGCTTTTTTCCAAAAGCTCTCAAGCCTCTCACTGACGAGGCTACTAAGACACTGAGCTGCACCCTTTTTCGTATCACTGATCCTATGGAACAAGAGTTGTTTCACTTAAGTCTAGTTTGTTCTAAAGAAGGAGTGGGAAGTCCCAGGAAATGGGCAGGAGGTAACTGACAAAGCCACACTGGGCCACAGAATGGTGTTTCTTCCTCTTTTTTGAAAAATGAAACCTATCTGTGAGACTGTCTCATGTTTAAAAAAAAAAAACAGTTGATGGTTGCACATTTCAATAGTAAAACATCTGGTAAACCTCTTCCACATGAGAGCAACATGCACATATAACTTTTTTAAAAATTATGTTTCTTGATTATTAATAATCTATGATTTTAAGCACTATTTCTCGTTGTTTATAATGTAACCTGGGAATAGTAGCTTATGTCTTTAATCTGAGTACATGAGCGGGCTGAGGCAAAGGATTGACAAGAGTTTGAAACTAGTCTGCCTAAAAAGGAAAGGAGCTGTGTCAAATACCTGCACTCCAAAGGCAGAGACAGGAAGATTGTCAAAAATCCAAGGCCAACTTTATCTACACATGAAGTTCCAGGTCTGTCAGGGCTTCAAAATGAGACCCTGCTTCAAACAACAACAACTACATCATCATCATCATCATTTATAGAATGTAAATAACCTGTATGCTGCTCAGTGGTACACTACTTGCTTACCACAAGCAAAAACTCAGTTTGCATTCCTATAACCCTGGAAAAATCTGAATCCAATGTGCCAACCATGTTGCCTCAAAAATGGAATCTTCATACATGAAAGGTTAAGGCTAAAGATCTTAAGTTCAAGACCAGCCTGGGCTACATAGCAAGTTCCATACCCATTTATGTTACGGAGTAAGGCCTTGCCTCAAAAAAATTGAAAAAAGTAAATGGAAGAAATTTTGTCTCTCCAATCACTGAAGATCGAAACTGTGATAATGTTATGTAGACAGTCTTACATATCTTTGATATATTTTGAAAGTAAATACACTGCATCCTTCAAATTTTTAGGAGTTGATATATAAATTTATTTTATAGTTCAATTATGCTATATGATATGTCTTTTTTGGCACTCCTTTTGCAAATGGGCCAGAAATGGAAACATTGGCTTTTAAAATTATTTCCCTGGTTTACCCTAACTGAAAAGAATGACTATCCCTAAATGACTGTCATTCTCTCCTCTCTTCCCTCCTAACTTTGATTAGGCTGCTTTCCAAACCATTCTTTTTGAATGTTTCCACTTAGTGCAGTTGCTAAGTTTGTTTTTGTGTTTCATGACTTGCTCTCAAAGTCACATTTTTAAAAGTAAACCAGCAATTGACTTTCTGTTTGAGTCTGTCATGATCTCCAGCATGACTTCATGGAACATTATGCAGACCCAGTTGATGGTTCCTACAAGTGATACATAATAACTTGGCCTGGCCCACTCAAGGCCCAAGGGCGAATTTAGTGCAGGCATAAAATCAGACCTAGGGATAGATCTCTGTGTGCTTTGGTATCACATCAAGAATCTAACTGTGATCAAGAGATTCATAGCACCTCCAGGGCAAAACACAGCCTAATGGAAGCTCAACCATAATGATGTAGATAGCCTACAGTGGCTCTCATCTAACACCAAGAACTCTCCTTGGTAGGGTCCACAAGAACTGACCTGGCAATGCCACACAGTACCCAATAAAAGATCATTCTATTTGACCAAGTTGCCCCTTAGGTCATATGTATATTTTGTATGTTTCAGAGGTATGTGTATATGTGTGTGTCAGTGTGTGTATGCGTGTTCATGTGCCTGTGTGTATGTATATGTGTGCAGGTGTGCCATAGAAGGATATCATGTGTCCTGTTCTGTCACTCTCTGCCTTATTCCCTTGAGGACTTGGAGTCTGGTGAGGTAGGCTGGCATCCAGAAAGCTCCAGCAATCTTTCTGTTACCACACCTTACAGCAGCAGACTACAGCTGCTGTGCACAAAGTCCATGCCCATGTTGTTACAGTAAGTATTTTTACCCACTACAGCATTTACTCGAATTCTCTTTTTTTTCCTGTTTTTATTGGATATTTTATTTGTTTACATTTCAGATGCGATCCCCTTTTCCATTTTCCCTCCCTAGAAACCCTCCCATCCCCCCTCCTGTTTTTTTTCTTTTATACCATTTTAGTTACATGATAGTATTAAGGCCAGTTCTAGGTTGAGGGACTAAGTACAATAGATGCAAATAGTCAAAGAACAAGCAAGGCAATAAACAAAATTCCGGAACACTCTCGTGATCACAGTTTCTTAGGGCTTATCAGGATGACCAAAATATCTGAGCCAACTTCCCTGCCCTAGCCCAAAGTCATTTTCATGTCTGAAGCCTACTTCCTTGTTCTAGCCTACTCTATAGAAAGAATTGGCATATGAATAACTATGTGTCCTAGTCTAATCTCAAACTCATGACAAGGCTCTTGTCTCCCTTCTGGAGCTAGAGTTATAGGCGCCCTGTCCAGAAAAGTCCTTGTTTTACTCAAATACAAAATAAAAAACTCATAATGATTACTCACACAATAATCTTAACATCCAGAAGGCTGAGGCAGAAGGATTACCAGGAGCTTGATGTGACTCTAGTCTACAAAGCAGGATTCTATCTTTAAAAAAAAAAGCACAAATGACACTAGAGTAGTGGCTCATGCCTGTACCAACAGCATGCAGGATGCTGAGAAGAAAGGTTAGCTAGACTCTGTAAAAATTAAAACTAAAATGGGTGGAGGTGTACCTCAGTGGTACCATGTTTGCCTAGCGTTTGTGAGGTTCTAAGTTCAATCCTCAGACTGGAAATAAAAAGATTTTAGATAGAATGTGGTAGAATATGTTCGTGAACTGGTGTGTGTGCATGTGTAAATAGATATGTGCATATTTAATATATAAATTAGGGAAAGGCAATAATGGATTTTTCAAATAAAATGTGACAGGAAGATCTACTATTGAGAAATTAGGGTCCTTAGAGTAAAAGTTCGTGGAGCTGAGCAGAAGATGGGCGTGGAGGAGAATTGACAGTGAATAAAGTGTGAATGACACAATAACACAGATAGCTTAGAGTGTATTTCTCACCCCAGCCCAGGTAACTGAATGATAGGAATAATGTCCAATCAGAGAAATGGACATCAAGACACTAACTCTCACCTGCCATTTAACAGACTGACACAAAATCATACGATTTCAGCTATGAAGGATATAATTCTATTTCATAATAGACAGCAAAGAGATAGCAGTTTAAAGTCAGCTTTATACATTTGGCTTTTATAAAAGAGAAATGGGAAGCTAACTTAACAGACCGACTGCTGCACATTTTGATTAAAGATTCTTTTCAGAGAGAAAATTAAAAGAGATTTTAATTAAAATTCTGAATAGGTTGTTTTGTTTTACTTTCTATTTGTTTTTGTTGTTTATTTTTGTTTCTTTCTAGTCTTAACCAGATTGGAACTCACTCTGTAGCCCAGGCTCACAGCAAAACTAGTATTGCAGAGACTCGTTTCTATGATCATCTAGTCTAGTGGCCTTTATTTGAACGTACACTGTAATCACTTACATTTTGAGAGGATTTCATGGTGTTTACTTAATTCCTTCTCTTTCAAAGTGATTTGTAGGACTACTGAAATGGTTCAGCAGGTGAAAGCTCTTGCCATCATCCTTGACAATATATATTCTATCACTGGGATCTGCACGCTGTAAAGAAAGAATGAACGTCCACAGTTTGACGTCTGACCTCCATAACTGCATGTATACATACATACATACATACATACATACATACATACATACATACATACATAGACTGCCATTCCCACTCCCAGCCCTCTCCCACACTCCTCTCCCCACACCTGATCCCCATCCCTATTCCCTTCCTCACTCTCCCACCCAGTCCCCTTCCTCCATCCACCTCCACTGACTATTTTGTTTCTCCTTTGGAGTGAGATTCCTGTATCCTTCCTTGGGACCATCTTATTACTTAACTTCAACAACCAATGGAAAAAGATGCAGAGACCCACAGCCAAACATCAGGCAGTGCACAGGAAGTCTTGTAGAAGAGTGGGAGATAGAACTGAGTGAGCTGGAGGGGTTAAGGACACCACAAGAAGACCCACAGAGTCAGCTAACCTGGGCCCATGGGCTCACAGACATGGAAACACCAACCATAGAGCATGAATGAACTGGACCTAGACTCCCTACACATTTGTAGCAGAAGTGCAGTTTGGTCTTTATGTCGATCCCCTCACCAATGCAGTGGAGGCCGTCTCTGACTCTGTTGTTCCCTGCCATTGGATCCCCTTCCCCTAACTGGACTGCTTCTTTGGGCTTCAGTGGGAGAAGATATGCTTTAAGCCTACCGAGACTGGATGTCCCAGAGCACAATGGTACTCAAGGAGGGTCTTCTAAGGAGAAGGAGAGAGGATGATGGGGGAGGAAGTTTTAAGGGTGAGACTGGGAGGAGAGGAGGGACTGGGGGACACAATTGGAATGTAAAATGACCAAATAAATAATTTTTTAAAAGAAAATGCCATCTCATCCCCTGTGCAGTTTGCTTTCTGTGCTTCAGGCTTGTGGTTGGAGATAAGACTTCTCAGCTTTCTCCTCTGGCCGCCATGCCTGCTTGCTTCCATACCTCCTTTCACCATGATGAATTCTCATCTCTTCAAAACCACTAGCCCAAACAAACTTTTCCACGGGTCACTTTTGATCATGGTGTTTTATCCCAGCATCAGAAAAGTAACTAAGATACGTATGTAATAAATATGTCTGCGGCCAGGCGGTGGTGGCGCATGCCTTTAATCCCAGCACTTGGGAGGCAGAGGCAGGAGGATTTCTGAGTTTGAGGCCAGCCTGGTCTACAGAGTGAGTTCCAGGACAGCCAGGGCTATACAGAGAAACCCTGTCTCGAAAAACCAAAGGAAAAAAAAGTCTGCAAATGGTATAAAAAGATGTAAAGAAACCGAACCTTTCTCCTTCTTCTATCTCACAGTTCTGCATTCCCAGAGACTCCTATTATGGCTGGAATT